AGAAGATTTTATTGCACACTTTGCATCACTCCCTGTGAAAGTTTCCTGTGGAAGAAGAGTGAAGAATGTGTTACTAGAGTTGTTACTAAACAGCTCTCACGGAAACTGAAATGAAACTGGCCTTGGGACTTTTCAGAATTTTTGCTGAGAAGAAACATATTCATAATCTTCCTTCAAGCTTTTCTCTCCTTTTATGATGGGTAAGAACAAACCAGATAAAAGCCTGAAGTCTGTCTGCTTCTTTTTCCTTCCTACTACGTTTTAAAATAATCCTTCATAAACTTCATTATATATACATTTCTTCATAACCTAGCATGTCCCCATAGGGCTCCATGATGATCAATCAGAGGGTCAGGTAATCCCAAGGAATACTTGGAGGTGCGACTGGAAAATAAAATGAATGCAAAGATAAGGGTCTTCCAGCATGTAACCACTGGATCGTTTAATGAGGTTTATTTCCAGGCCTGAACCCACCTAATCATTTGTTAGTGCAAAAAAGAATGCTCGTGGGAACCCATGCTTACTGGAAAAAAAACATTAACTGAACTTGGCAGCAGCTTCTCATTTAGGAAAAAATGAAAATGAGGCACAAGCTTTGTGCTCGTTTACCCCATATATCCCCTTCAAAAGAAATCCAGAGAATGTCAACAGTGCTTTGTCAATAGATGCTGGTCCTCTGTGACCTGAATTCATCAGGTTTTCAATAAACTCAGTGTGGGAGGTGGGGAAGCAGCTCCTGAAACTAGAACTCTCCAGGTCCTTGGCCACTCTTTCTGAAGTCATGACATTTCAGGAATTATAGTGCCAAAATTTCAGAAACTGCAATGGGGAATAAACTGCCTATCCAGTCATGCACAATGAAAAAGAAGCTATTGTCAATAATACCATATGATTCTTTTTCCTTCTACAGCTCTTCCAACTGACAAAGAAAATCACCCTTTTGACTGTCCTAGATGAGAGCAAATCTCATTAAATCTAAACACAGCTCAGGACGTGGTATCCTCTCCTTTAACTACAATACTGAATGTTCTTTCTTTTAACTGCTATTCTAAATGCACAGTCTGTGAGTTGTCAAGAGGACAGAGTTAGCTACTATAGATTTCCAGTTATTAAAAAGCCTAGAGTAAAACTGCAAACAAACCAGCAGAGATGCAAAACTCTTCCAGCTATGCCTTGCCAAACCTGGATGAAGCTTTCTATATGGAGAAACAGGGAGCACAGGTCTGCCTCTTGTTCAGATTATTGATTTTGTGCGAGTGACCAAGAATGGTGTTTTTGGGGCACAAGATTCCATGTTTCCCAGTTCCAGAGTGATCCGCCTTAGGACATTTTATGTTGACTAAAAATTGGCCTGTTAAGCAAAAGCCACTTTATAGTGATAGGACTTGCTTGAGCAAATTCTGGAAAATACTTGGAATTCATAGATGTTTTACATCAAGTTGGAATGCTACAGATTAAAGGAGAGCCGGAAAATTAAATGGTCTTCTCTTTAAAACAGGGAAGGCAGGCTTGACGAGGATGACATAGTTTGGTTAGGGGTCAGTAAGGTACAGGAACTGGTATAGAGAAGAAAACAGAAACTGGGTCTGCTACTGACCTGCTGAGCAATCGAGATCCTTTCATCACCTCCCCTGCCTTAGTAATTCCCGTAAATTGTTAGTAATTCTATCCTCTTAATAAAGCAGGTTAAGAGTAAGTGCTGGATCAGAGCAGATCTTAATCCTGTAACTTAAAGCCTTTCATTTTGATTTGGGTCTTATGCTTAATTGTGAGGTCTGACTGAAGATGCTGTAGTTAGGGTGGCTATAAAAGTTCTCTCTTGCTTAGCTAATATCTAAATCTAGAAGTAACCAAGCTACATAGATTTTTCATGTGAAAATTTTTCCAGCTTCTACATTTGTTTTTTTTTCATATTTATATTTCTGCCCCAGGCTGTCTTGATGGGGGTTGATTGCTTTATGCCAATTTCATGCCTGCTTCCATATTACCTATCCCAGACTCCAAAGGAGATTCAGTCTGTAAGCATTCTTAGACGATGCTTATCAGTATTATGCATGGTGCCCATGCTCCAAAAATTCAATATGCTGTCAGGACACTCTTAGGAAAACCAGGGAACTGAGGGCTTTCACCCCCCACTCTGGAGGAGAGAGGAGTTAGATTGGTTTGCATCTGAAAAGGATGAGTAGGCTTCTGTATAAAAGGGGAGAAGAGACTGGCATTATATACTTTCCCATCCTTTTGGGGAGGAGCTGGGGAGAGAAATATAAAGGAAGGAATTTAGGGAACCAGCTATAGAAGAGAAGAGAGTTTCATACTGTCACAAAGACACCTTGCTACCCCACCTAACCAAGCGTTTAATAAGGCACTGTGCTCTGCAGGCAAGAGGGTTTGAAAACGCACCTAGCAGAAGGTGAAAGCCCAAGAGGGAAGCAAAGGGTCTAACATCTGTTCCAAGCTGGGAGTTGTTCTGGTTCCTTCCACTGCAGACATGTCTTCCTGTGTAAGCTCCTGGTGGTTGGTTTTGGGTGGAGTGGTGTTGAGTAAGCGGGTAGTTATGGATACCACTGAGGTATCAACCTTTCCCCATGCACTGCAGGTGATTGTGGGAGAATGGCACAAGGTTATGTGCTGTGGCAAACAGGAACCTAAAGATTGGATGTTGCCACACTTAATTATTAGTCACCTAAATTCCTTTTGCCTCTAGGTCTCTGTGGTTAGGAAGCAATGGTAAGTGTAAAAAAAAAAAAATCAGGGGTTTAACCTTGGATATATAACTAACATATGGAAACAAATACTTACCTGACTGATTCAAGACATTGAAGAGATTATGATATATTAAATGAGGCATCACTCCGACATGGAATCACTACAACATGGAGCCCAAGGGTGATGGTCTCTGAGCCCATGTTTGAGCTATGGACAGGAAAGGATTTTGGGAATAGAAATCTCCCAGTATGGAAATGGGCTTCACATTAGACCTGTGCAATACCCTGTTTCTAGACTATGCAGACACACATACTTGTTTTGGCTTTTCTTTTTCCAATCATAGCCAAAATCTGGATTTTAAGACTAAGGAATGAAAATATCTCATCTCTATACTCTTCCACCTTCAAGAAAATCCACAAATGCCACTTAGGGTTCTGAGTGAGAGCTGCAAAAGCCAGGTTCTTACAGCACACCTTACTTGGAACAGTTGTTCCTTTGTGCCTGGCAGCCTACCCAAAACACTGTGATAACCTGGTCTGGTCCACCTCCAGTATCATCCTACTGAGTAAGGCATGAATCCCAGCATAAATTTATTGCTTAACAGAAGAGTATAGGAAGTCCCCTCACAAATCATATTTTGTTAAATTAATCAGATCCGAGTAAATCTCGGTGGAATTGTTTCATCTGAAAACAGGCCATATCTGTTTCCCAAATACGTTTGATGTCCTGGCCCTTTTCTTGGAAGCTGTTCATCTTAGACTATTTCTTCTCACCTGCTGTTGCAAGCTGCCACCCCCATGGCTCCATTTTGATGGTAAAGCCTCCTCTAATCCCCAGTGATCATGCAACAGGAAAGGAATATAACCGTGAAATCTCTCAGCCTCCGGCTCAGCTCCCTTCCCCTTTCTCTTGCAGACCTGATGCAGTAATGATTCTTTTATTTTAATGTGGCACTACCAATAGTTGCGTAGTGGACTCTGTGAGGGAAGACACCTTTTGGGTCTCCTGCAATGCAAGACCTATGTTGTTAGGGCTGTCCTTTTTGTTGCCATCCATTGATATTTCTCAGGCTGTCCTGTGCCCTATTTATTTTCCATTTAGCGGGTTGTTATTCACCTTGTGCCTCCCTGTTCCTGTCCTACACCTTTTCTGACCAAACAGCCAGATGCTGCTTGAAGTGGGGATGTTGCAGACAGCAGCTTGGGTACAGGCTGCACAATTTCCTCAATCTCACAGCTCAGCTACATGCCATTGTGGGCACAGCGGAAGACCTGTGTTGTACAGGCCGTTGCCCATGACTATGTAAATACAACGTGCTCTTGCGACCAGCCAAGCGAGGAGATGCTGTGGGAGCCAGCAGCTCCTGCAGAGCTGGCAGCCGCTTTATCTGCAGGAGCGCCTTCATGGATGAGGCAGGAGAAGGAACAAGGGGCAGAGACGCAGACTGTGTCATCTTTGTACGCCTAAAAGTTGCTAGGCTACTTGCACGCTCTTGTTGGGTCTTGATGAAAGATCGGGGCCAATTGAAGGATGCTCTTTGCTCTCTAGTTTCTGAGCTTAGATGGATTTTCAAAGTTGCCCCTCGCTGCCACCGCCGAAAATGTGCTTTAATACACAAAGAAATCCTGCGTTAAGTACTTTATCTCCCGACTTTGGACTTCAAAACACAGCGACTATTACAGCCTACCGATAAACCACGGGAAGCGCCAGGGCCCACCGTTACCACAAACAGTAACTCGCTCCCCGTTGCGCGGGCGGGAGGCCGGGGCAGCACGGGGCTCGGTGGGCCCCACGCACGGCAGCGCTCCCTCACACGCCTCTGCCTCCCCCGCGTCAGACACCTTCCCCGACCCCCCGCCGGCTCAGGAAACGCCATCCCCGCCGCCGGGCCGCACCGGGCGGGGCCCGGCCCGCTGGGCGCCCCTGGGCCCCCGGTGCGGCGGGCGGCAGCGGCAGGTGCGGGCGCGGCGGCGGCGGGGCTCGGCCCGGCGGCCATGTTGCGGCGGGGTTCGGCGCCGGGGGTGGGCGAGGGTCTCGGGTGAGGGGCACGGAGAAGAGGCGACGCAGAAAAACCGGCACCTGTTGCGCGGGGGTTCGCCCCTCTCCGCCCGCCACCTCTCACCTCGCGGGGCCTGGGGGGCGGCTGAAGGCTCCGGTAACCGGGTGCCTCCATGCGCCTGGGGGGCGGGTGGGGGGGAGCCCGGTAACTGGGCGAGGCCGATCCCGCGCTCCGCGAGCGCCGGGGGGAGCGGCGGGTAATGGCCGGCGGCGGTGAGTCACCGGCGCGGCCCCACCTGCGTACTTAACCGCCGCCGGGCGGCCGGCGCCGCACTCGCGGGTTGTGCTGCCGCCGTGGCCGGGAGCGGCTCCTCCTTCCTCCTCCTCACAGGGCGGTCGGCTGAGGCGAGGCAGCCGGTGTGTGAACGTTCGTCTTGGGAGGAGGAGAAGCACCAGCAGCCCTCAAAATGCCGAAGCCGGTAAGCGAGGCACAGGGGAACGGAGGGGCTCTGCGGGGCTGCACGGGGACCCGCCCGGTGCTGGCCCTCGGGGGCTGCCCCAGACGGGGCGGGCGCCTCCCGGGGCGGCGGCGGGGACTTCTGCCGGGGCCCTGCCGCCTCCGCGCTGGAAGGGCTGGGTCTCGGTCCCCGCCGCGCCTGAACTCCCCGTACCGGGACGGGGCTTTTCGGCTTGAGCGCCCGCAGACTCTCCCCGTGGGAGCCGGGGGGAGTGACCGGAGCGGGTCGGTGCGGGCGCCCTGCGGAGCGGCGCCGGGGCTGTGGCGGGCGGGGCGGCGGTGTGGCGGCTCCCCGGGCCCGCCGCCGCCGGGAGAGGGGGAAGGAGCCTCGGGAGCCGTGCCCGAGAGAGCAAACAGTAGATCGTTCCGTCTTCTGTAGTGCCGCCGTATCGTGCGAGAAACATACGGACCTCCCAACTCTTTCAAGAAGAGCTTTTATCGCACTCCCGCTTAGGGAGATGGCCAAACGGCACTGCCTTCCACTTGGTAGTTGCATGGTTTGTGTATTTATCTACAGGGAACATGTATGTGTCTGTAAACATAGGAGAAACCTCTTTCCGCCTTGATTTGTGATCTATAGACTAAATGCCAAGGACTCTCAATGCAGTTCTCCACAGCGCTCTTTACCAGTCATCGTCAAAAACCTGTTCTTTGGAACAAACTTGTCTTTTTCATCCCTACTTCTTTATGCTACAACTGCACACACCAGCCACCCCCTCCACCCCAGATCTTCTAGTGGGTTTTTGCTTATTCAGTTTTAAAATCTGCTGCTACTCTGCCAGTTAAAAGCTATAATTCCCTGAAGGAACCAGCTGCCTAATGCAAGGCTTTGAGCAGTTATTGAAACAGATGCAGTTTTGAACTCTGAAGAGCATATCAGAACAGGTTGTTGTTGCTATCTATTCTCAATAGAGGCAATATTTCTTAAAATGCAGTGCAGTGAAGGACTTACTTATTAGCTTCATCCTGTGAAATGGGAGTAAACAAGCTTATCTTTATGGTAATAAGCAATTGATGTTTTACCACCACAACATTAAAGTTAGTTTAACTTTTTTTTTTTTCCTCCCAAAAAGGAGTGCTTAGGTTAACTTATGTTGCAGTTTCTATAAACCTACCAAAAAAAACAAAACAAAAAAAAAAAACAAAACAAAAAACCCCCCAAAAAAAACAAAAATGTGCTCTGATCGTTTCAGAATTGCTAAACCTTCAAACTCCCTGGGTGTATTTCATCAGTAGGGGGTGATATATTATGGCATATAAAAATGTGTACTGCAAGGACCCTTCTGCACCTGGGGGAGCAAATACATAATTTACAGAGTATGGATATAAAAGGGTGTGTGTGAATAATCTCTCTGCCTTATTAGCCATTTGCTAATTACAGAATGCTTTCTTGAAATATCCTGGTCAGAATTATCTGAAATCCTGGTTTAGGACTCAGTCGTAGTGGAAGCCATGGACAGGTGTGGAAAAACTCTTTAATCTCTTAAAAAAAAAAAAATACAGCAGTCTTCATCCTTTTACCTGTCATGGCTGTGTTCATATTCCCTCACAGATGGTGATTTTTGTTTGTTTCTTGACTGACTAGCCAGTGAATAACAAAGGTGGATGGTGTAAACTGCCTTCCACTGGGGAAGGACAGTTGTACTCTGATGATTTCCGAGACATGACCTACTGTCTGGGATTTATGGATAAGACTCTGCCAATAGCTTGTACAATATAAGCACTCTTTTTAAAAAAAAATCTGCTGTTCAGTGGGGATAACTGCCACCTTACTGTAAACTGAAAAGAGGAATTTTGCAGAGGTTATTTTAACAAAGCACACTGTTTGGTCTGACTGCTTCAGACTGAGACTGGATTTGGATCCTTCCCAAACTGGCTCATTTGGTTTTAATACAGCTAAAGAGGATTCTTGTCAGTTTGCAGGGAGCAGGGGGAGAGGGTGTAAAGCTGTCACTCCAGAGGCAGAACTGTGCTCAGGACAAACGTGACAACAGCCTTCGGCATGCATGAGGAATAATAGCATGAACTCTCGGGATGCACAGGGATGTAGTTTTAGTTTGATGGGTATTTGACATGGGTACTAAATATTTATTATGTACGCTTGTTTGCATGTGTCTTGTCTGCATGGCGTAAGTAAATATGATGTTGCTTGGCAGACTTCATGCTGCTATGGGTGAAGTTTCACACACTGGTTATCAGTTGTTCACAAGTAGAGTTTAAGGTGACAGAAAGCAAAATTTTGTAACGCCCCCCCTCACCATCAGCATCAGTAAGTTAAACCTTTATATGAAACTTTTAACAAAACTTATGCATACATGCACAAAGCTTATATCATGTTTGTAATTTATTCTTTCACAATAAACAAATAGTAAGTCCATTAACATTAGAACATTAGTGATTTTGTATTTTAATTGAGTACCAACATGAAGTGCTAGAAAGCCAACTGTATTCCAGATTCTGTGGTAGTTTAATCACAATTAGTTGGATCTGATGCATGTTTACGTTGCTTAAAATAAATTTTAGTAGCAGTCCAGAAAATAATTCTGGAATAAATATATTTGTTAATACAGTCAAGTGTTAATTTATCATTTAACATGGATGTTCTGCCATGTGTAACAGTTACAAAATAACGAGATCTTTCTGAGGTAAGCTATAAATATGTAACTTGTACCCAGCTCATAAGGGTTTATGTCTGGGAGTTCAACAGTTCAGATATATAACTTCCATCTAGTCTGTACATAGGTTCATTAGGCTTCACAGGTGGTGAATTACTATGTAAGGAAATGCAAGAGACGTCATCTTGTCCAAATCTTGCAGTGTTATCTGGAAACAAGTGAAATGCTAAATAAATTTATTTGCTCAGCCTTGCATCTTTTCATTACTGGAGTGTCTGTGTGCTCTCTGTTTTTCCTAGATGCCTGTTACTATTTTATTTCTGTTTGACTCAGTGAATGGATGGTGTTTTAGTTGAATTGTATCCTTTTGCAAAACAAACCAATCTAATAGATTGTCTCTAGAACAGCATGGCTGCAGGGTAATGAACATTACTTACTGAAGGAGAAGGAAATGTGATCTCTGGTCTATAGACCTGTTAATTTGATCTGACCTACCAGCATTCTCTGTTACTTTATTGAAAGTGGATTTTTTTTGTTTGTTTGTTTCCTCTTGGGGGGAAAAAAACTTAAAGCTTTGCAGGAAATGAAGCTGGCTTTGCAGTAGAGCATTTGATAGTGTCACACAAGAACTTTTAATACTTGAGTGCATGTATATAACACTGTGTGAAGAAAGGACAGCAGTAAATGCAGTCTAACAGCTTCTAGTGCTAAAGAGAAAATAGAAGTGGATAATGTCCAGAGGCACCATTTTTTTAATGCCTTTACTAATGGCCTGTGGTCAGAAAGCTGAACATACTAATGAAATCTGCTAATGCCATGCTGTTGGGGGGGAGGCTATTGATGCAGAGGGCCACTGTATAAAGGGGATTGAAGGGCTGGGATAATAATGTCTGATTGCAAAAGTTAAACTTAGAGGGGGGCGCAAGGAAGAAGGTCCCTCACTATATAGGATAGAAGTATTTGGATTAATCAGTGGTAGTGTGATTGTCTTGTTGTCCATGCCATCTGCAGTGCATAGGGTTTCTCTAGTGGAAAGGACTAATAGAAGGTGTTAGTGAGATCTTTCATTGAATATAAGTTGCACTTATCTGTTTCCAGGAGAGACAAATTCAAAGCAGAACCCAGAGAAGAGTGAAGAGTTTTGGGATGACTAGAGGCAGAAAGCCACCTCATGATAAGAGAGTGCTTGGCTAGTTTAGCCTAGTAGAATTAAACTATTAAATGGGGTTTAAATGTCAAAGAGAAGGAAGAACTGCTATAAGCAGAGCTTGTTGTTTAAGAGACTACATTTTAAACATTAGAGCAGTCAATTGTATGTGGTAGGGTGTTTTTCCCCTCCTTGTTGGTCTTACTAGGAGACTATTCCAAGACCTATATATCCCTTAAGATAAAGTTTGACAAGGACACAATTTAATGCTGATGCCTGTAGGGGTGGGGAACTGGAACTGATGACTCAAAAGATTTTTCCCAGCTCTGTGCTGTTAATAATGTGCTAGTGTGTGCTGGGTATTAAGTAGTTAGACAAGTCCTCCATACCTGCTTGGTGTTGAATACACGTGAATTCTGAAAAAAGAACTTGAGGGCAGGATGCAAGTCTTCTGACAAACCTTTAGCTGTCTGTGAACAGACTATCACATTCAACAAGTTTGACAAGCCAGCCCAAAGAGATGCAAGTGTAGTGACAGGAATTTATTCTAAATACAAATAATTAATAATAATTGTTTCCAGATTTTCCAAATTTATTCTTGACTGTGTACCTTCTAACTACACATAGCAGTTTTATCTCAGAGTTCTTCACAGCAGATTGCTATAACTGGACTGAAATAAAGATATTTTTTCATATCCTTAGGTGCTTATAATTAGTTAAAATACTCTTAGCTTATGGATAGCTATAGGATTTAGCTGATTTAGTCAGGAATATAATCTTATCCTTTTCTTCTAAGCACCAATTGCAGTACATCACATTTTATGGTATATGATGTACTTGATACCAGGAGGTACATAGTCTGTTGCAAAATGGAATGTAAGCAAGCTTCCATTTGCCAAATACGAGAACTCCCACTCATAGCTGCAAAAGGAAGCCAGAGGGTTCTATTAATAGTAAATTTAGGGAGTACTTCACAAATGACTGAAGTTAAAAGAGAATGCTTTCACAATTGTGCCAAAAACCTGAATTACCACATGAGCTGAGTAAGGATTTCTGAGTGCAGTTTGTTCTGGGATGTTAGCTGCTGCAGAGAAATCAAGGGTGTTAACTATTATGTTAGTCACTACTTAAAAGAATTTCTTAGTCTTCTTAAAGGGCAGAAGGGGGGAGATAAGCCTTCCTGTTCTCCCTCCCTCCACC